ATAGGTAACCGTGGCTAATAACTATTTCTGATATCTTGTTTAATTTTAATCCCTGAACTAAAACAGTGGTCACCAACCAAGCGCAGGCCAAACCTGGATCTACATAGATGCAGTTGGTTGCATCCTGTGCCTTAGGGCTGTGCTTGAAAAAGCAGATTATTTAAAAGACATAGCAAGAAATGTGCAGCCCAGAATAGAAGCATGTGAACCTGCATCCTGATGCAAATGGTTGATCCTGTTACTAAAATATTCTGAATTCTCTCTGTGTGTGTGTGTGTCCCTCTCTCTCTTCCACTCCCTCTCTCCCCTTCTTCCTCTCTCTCTCCCCTTCCTCGCTCTCTCTTTCTATCTCTCTCTCACTTTCTCACTCTCTCACTCCCTCTTCCTCTCCCTCTCCCTTTCTTTCTCCATTTTCTCCTTCACCACCAGCCTGAGACCAACCTTCACTCCAAATAGTAATGAAAGTATTAGTAGAAGAAAAACAAGGCAGAGCACAGAACAGGACAAGATGGAAAAGATGCCAGAGTTGGAGATGGGGTGGAGAAGCAGAAATGAACCTTCAGTCCTTGGAGCAGAACTGGAAGGCAGACTGCTTTCAGATGAAACCTTTGCTCTTTTCAGTCCTGTGAAAGGGCTGTTTAAAGCATCACAGCCAAGAAAAGGAAAATTTGGATTGTACCATATTTTCAGTTTCATTGTAAGTGTGAGAAATACAGACTGGGTTTGCAAAATGCAGTTAGCCAGGTCTGTTAAAGACTTAAAAGACGGCATGTATGTCTTTGATAACTCAGTGTATTCGTTGAAGTAACCAGTCAAAGAGTTGGATTGGTTGTATTTGTGCAGTCTTTCATTTGCCTTTCACCATGTTATTTTCAGTTCCCTTGGGATACTCCGACTTTAGCCCAAAGAGAAGGTTTAGTTGAGCATTAAGTTACACTCCAAGGTACAGTAGGAAGTAATGCTGCCATAGTGAGTAGCAGAACCTTCAATATAAAAGCAAGGACATCAAACTTTCTATTTCAAAACTATATGGGGAGTACAAGCTTCCAGCATCCTTTAGGGAGGGAATTAAAACTGGCTGATGAGTTAGAAACATTGGAGAAAGGGCATCGGAGCACATAGGGGAATAGGGTAAGAGTGGAATCTTTTGAGTCCCTGGAACATGGCAGGATGGGGAGAGAGATATAAAATAGTTTTGGTTTTTTTACAAGAGAGAATCATTTAATTTTGCAGAAAAGACATTAACAGGAGACTGCAGAAGGCACGGGTGACCTCTTTCCTTTTGTTTAATTCAGTAGATCTGTAGCAAGCATGCTTTTTAATTTCATGCCTTCCCATCCCCACATTCCACTCCCCCTCCCCCCATTTCTGGGTTGTCAGAATGGGAGTGTTCCATTTTGCAGGAGGGAGTAGGTGGTTAGAGGTTGAAAGTAAAACAGTGGATGATATCCATGCCATCATTTGTCACAAAAGACAGGTAACATTATTAATAGTAACTTCCATTTTTCACTCTTTCCCCTTTGCCTTAGAACTGACTTTACGCAACCCTGTCATTAACTGGTTGCTGCAACCAATACAAATTCCCTGCCTTTTATTTTTTCAGAGTTACTTATCTTACATTCATCTTGGGGTGGCCCATAAATGGGATTTCCTGTAACTAAGACTTTAAAAATGGAGTGAGTGGGGGAGAGAAGAAGAAAGGGAGAAGGTAGTTGTGATCATTTACTAAGAGAAGGAAGAGGGTGTTGTATTAATTTACTAATAGAACCATTACAAGTTTGTCCTTTCTTGTTATTGATTTTGCTATATGTGGTGAAAGATTTATCTATTTCTTATTTTTGGGTTACTTTTCAACTGTAGCACCAGGACAATTTACAACAACAAAAAGAATACACATATATGAAAGAAATAACATATATTACAAATGATAATAAATATTACATTGTAACAGGAATAATAGCTACTTGAGGAATGGTCTCACACTGATGGGACTGGTCCATCAAGGAATTTTGGCTGGCCAGGTCCACGAGAAGAGCCTTTTCTGCCATGGCTCCAGTCCTTTGAAATATCTTACTCCCTGAGGTGAGATTGGCTTCCATCCTCCTGTCTTTTCATAAGACCGGATGGCATGACAAACCCAAAGGGGGGAGTTTCATAATGGAGGTGGTTGACTAATTAAAACCTAATCCCATTCCTCCACCACCGCCACTCGTGTGTCCGGCTTCCTCCTTTGCCATCTTGTGCTAATGATTTTATCTGCTCTGTTATTTTATAATGGATGATTTTAATGTTTTTTATAATGCTTTTATGTTGTAAGCTGCCCAGAGCCATTGAATACAAGATAGGTGGCAAATCTCACAACAGATAAATAAAAAAATAAAAACAGAAGCAACCAATGGAATTACGATGGCATAAAAAGGCCTCTGCATAGCATAGGAGGAGCAATGGGAAGGACATAGGTGAAATCCTCTGGGGGAGCATTCCGTAGATAGGATTATGAGAAAACCTGTTCCCTGAACATCTGTATTTTTCTATTTATGATGCACCCAAATGTTGCTGAAACTGCAGTTGAGAAATAATACTTGTGCCATTTTGGGCCTGGAGTAGGGGAAAGAAGTAGAGAGAATCATCCCATGATTATAGATTTATCCTAAAAATGATGGTGTGGGCACTGAAGGTGATAGATTTTGTATAAATGTGCATAGCATTAGATGAATCAGAAGCATTAACTTTCTTGCTAGGAAATGGGCAATATTATCCGAAAGATTTTATTCAGACAGGATCAAGATTATAGACCCAGATAGTTTTTAAAAACACAGAAAGGAACAAATTAGAAACCAGAGAAGAGGACATAGAAAATCAATAAGAAAGAATAAGGAATCCCCGAGAGTTAACATTGATGGTGAAGCAAGGGGGAATTGAGAAGATAAGGAGGATAAAGGAAGAATTATAGACAATTGCCTTCAAGATAATTTTGGGGAAAAATGCAGGGCAAGGAGAAGACATGACAACTTTTGAAGGATTCCATTAGGTAAAGGTTACCCTTGCACATATGTGCTAGTCGTTCCCGATTCTAGGGGGTGGTGCTCATCTCCGTTTCAAAGCCGAAGAGCCAGCACTGTCTGAAGACATCTCCATGGTCATGTGGCCAGAATGACTAAATGCCGAAGGCCCACAGAATGCTGTTACCTTCCCACCAAAGGTGGTTCCTATTTTTCTACCTTCATTTTTGCATGCTTTTGAACTGCTAGGTTGGCAGACGCTGGGGCAAGTAACGGGAGCTCACTCCGTTATTCCGCGCTAGGGATTCGAACCGCAAAACAGCCAACCTTTCTGATCAACAAGCTCAGCATCTTAGCCACTAAGCCACTATGTCCCCTGTAGGAATCCATTACACAGGTCAAAACTATAAGGACATAGGCTCTTTTATACTGACATTGGTCCATAAAGAGTAACTGGAGTAGCTTTCCAAGGTTTCAGATTAGAGTTTTGCTAGGGTGCCTGAGGGTGCCAGGGATTCTTGACCTCTGCCCCTCCCCTATCTCATGTAATCATCAGCTTATCTTATTTCCTGCCATCTTTTCTTCCCAGGTCATAGTCTATAACCAAGGCCACAATAAATGTATGCATGGAGCAGATAAACTGAATCACAGATCAGAACTGAAGACCATTCATCTTAGCATAGGTTTCCTTGCTTTGGCCTAAATTCCATGTGAGTAGGGAGATGTGGATTGCAGTGCTGCCCGCTTACCCTCTTCACATAAAAGGCTGGTAAGGGGAAATGGTGGTTTATATTTGGACCAGGAAATTGAATGAGGGAAAGGGTTTTAGCTATGCCACCCCATCTTTATCCAATTTACTGTTAGTTATAGAGAAGGAAAGACATTCCAAATGGCTGCCTCTCTATCTTTCTCTGTCTTCCATAATAGTCCCAACAGATTTGGGAAGAGGATGATTTGAATTCGGGAGGAGTGTTTGGGAGGAGGATTAATCCTCTTCAGTTTCTTTTAAATAAAGAAAAGGATGTTAGAAGATCCTATTCCCCTTTTCTCATAAGCTATCCCTTCTGGCCCTTGGCCTACCCAGCAAAATTATCATGTTGCTTTTAAGCAATCGGTTCTTATCTAACAGGGAGACTTACCTGTTTATAAAGATCAGTTAATATATGTTTTCCAAATCAACATTTATTGCCCTTAATGAATAGTAAGGCATTAACGTAGGTGCTTCTGTATCCTACTGATCTGTCTACCATAACAAAATAAAACTAGAGATGTCTACCATTGCTAAAATGATGTTATACCAGAACAGTAAATGAAACTGATAGAATGGGTTATAAATGTTTACAGTTTTGTTTATGGGAAGGCAATTGCCAATATTGATCAGGGAACAAACACCAGTAAAATGTATTCCTTATGCTCTGCGATCCAGTGCAACCCCCCCTTCTCTCTGTGTGTGTGTGTGTGTGTGTGTGTGTGTGTGTGTGTGTGTGTGTGTGAAGAACATGGTTTTTCTGTCTGTTTGATCCTGCTTTCAGCCTGCTCTTAACTATTAATAATTCACATTTGTGAGTCCAAATAAAGTTGTACTAAATCACTGAACGGCTGGGGATTTTTTTCCACAAGGAGGAAAAGGAGAGAAGGTACACAATGAAATAATCTGGCACGTCCTCCAAAGCTTTCCTAATTTCAGGTGAAGTCTACAAAGAGCAACAGCCCAGTCTCACAACAGTTGAGCAACAAAAGCCTCTCCTTTTACTGTACAAAAGTTACATTGACTTGGGACCGAGTCCCTATACCTTGATCTAACCGGAGGGCAGGATTTTATTTACATTGGTATTATGCTGGTGTTTGTACTACCCATGTGATTTTAAGGGAGAATTTCTGAATTGGACACAACTGTGCATCTATGTATTAATCAAATATTTGACAGTGCAAAAGGGGAAAAGAAACCCTCTTTTATTTTTCTGTCTCTTCTCTCTCTCTGTCTCTTTGTTCTCACAGGGTGAAACATCTCAGTTTTCTTGGGCAGCGCTCCATGATAAATTCAGGTCTCTCCTCACAACAGAACCCAGGGAAGATTTGTGACAGATGGGGCGAAGTCACAAACTTGCAGCCGAAAGCAAAACGGGGAGAACTTTCCAGTGTGTGTGTGTGAGTCCATATTTACCTGATCAGAGCAAAAGAAGCAGAGGAAGCTCAGCCTGGCTGCTTGTCATAGCTGACACAGAGCCATCTGCCACAAACCTGTGGCGGCTTCAGATCTCCGATCCCTGCCACCACTCCGGCTCAAATTAAATGCAGATTCCCGGAGACGTTACGATGGTTACACATGTCCTCAGCATCACAGGCAGGAGACTGAAAAAATAAATGTGGCCTGTTGTATAACTATGCTCATGTATCCCATATGTGGTGCCACATTGAATTTCCGGTGGAATTCGTTTCTGTCCTTTGTACTGGATGACACGGAGCCTGCGTGCTTTCCCTTGGCCGACGTGATGGCAGCCAAGATTGCAACTTCAAACATTTGCTCAATGGCCAGCTTTCAATACCTAGACTGCCTGGTTATCCTTGCAACGTAGTTGTCGCGTCCTCCAAGGGCCACAGGGTCTCAAAGGAGGACCGCTGCCCTCTCTCCAACCCAGCTACCCTATCTAATTGGGCAGATCTCTAGGAATTATGGGGAGGTGAAGGCTAGTTTTTGTTTTTTTGGATTTCTTTCCACCATCTCTTCCTCCTCTTCTCCATCCCCCCTCCCCCTGCTTTCCTCCTTTTGCAAATTAATGACTCCATGGCACTGGGGCTTTTAAGTGAAGGTATTAATAAGGGGGTCTGGCAGGTGATCCATGATTCCCAGAATTGCATTTGCATTTAATTAATCTTAAAGAAAGTGGCAAGATAAACAGCTGTAATTCAAACTAGCATGGGAAATATGCTATATGGTGTCATCTATCCAATGAACGAAAGGTTGGAGACTTGTTTTTTCTCTCTCTCTCTCAAGGCCGGTGAACAGCAGACATCACAATTGTTCCATGGGGGCAAAATACAGATATTTGTGGGGTCTCCCCCCCCCCACTCCTTGTTATGGCCTGTTTTGTTATTAAGTAGAAGGGATGGGAATGAGAAATTGGTACTCCAACTTGCAAATGGGAGCTTTTCATTATAAATTGATTGTACTTTGAACAATGATAGAGCAACTGCATTTGTTGATGTTAAATGCTCCAAAATTTCAAATGTGCTATATCTTATTTTTAATAAAAGTACCCCTTGAAGTTTTTACTTAACATATTCCATTCAGGTATGGCTACATAAATTTATCAATGTGTTTCAGATGTTTACAAAAGGTGATTACATGATTTCAACCATCCTAAAAATAGGCCAGTTACAAAGCATCCAAGTTTTGATTGCATGACCACAGGGAATGCTACAACAGTCATAAGTGTGAAAAATGGTTTAAGTCACTTTAGTGCCGTTAAACGGTTACTAATCCAATGGTTCCAGGTTGAGGACTACCTGTACTTCATTTTACCTTAAACCTCAGTTACTGAACTGCATTTAATATGTGGCTAAATACAAAAGTTGCAGCCATCCAATACACTAAAGTTGAAATTGTGAGCATTCCTGGATTGTAGATGGTAATTGTAACCTGTTTATAAGAACTATTCATCTTGTTAGAACTGTTTTACCAAACCAGGTATCTTATCTTCTGATTGCCTCTTTTTCAGTCTTTTTTTAATTTCCAAGTATCTGTACCTTCTCCAATGACACTTATCTTTTTATATTATGTGTCCAAAACATTTAAGCTTTAAGAACATCATCAATGTTGTTCTTTCACCTTCAGTGAGATTCCATCTACGCATTAGGGTACTGTCTGAGATTGTTCAAGTTTTTCCCGGCAATATTAATTTGTATTTCTATTTCTTCATCTAGCATTTTTCATAACACATTCTGCTTAAGCTAAATAAGTAAGGGGATGGTATCAATCCTTGGTGTGCTCCTTCAGGCCAAATTAAATATGATGAAATTCTCTTGCTTTTTCCATTTTTCTCTTGGAATTTAATAATGTGATCTATAGTGCCCCAGAATGCAGCTTTAAACATCTGGTAGTTCTCATTGCAGATACTGCTGTTGAAGTTTGGAATGCAGGATGCTTCCAGTCTCAGTACTGAAGTAATTCTGAAGTTACTGTAGGAGAAGATGGGCCAAACTTTTTATTCTCTTGCATATAGAAGAAGAAGAAGACGAAGAAGAAGAAGAAGAAGAAGAAGAAGAAGAAGAAGAAGAAGAAGAAGAAGAAGAAGAAGAAGAAGAAGAAGAAGAAGAAGAAGAA